ATAATTTGGAACTTAAAATGTCGAGTAATGTACCCAACCCTATTCATATTTTTATATACATTTTTTTTATTCTATATATTTACTATATATAAATATTTGAGTTTTCACAAGTCAAATATAGGTCATCTCATTAACACTCAACTCCTTCTCCGAATACACTACACTTGATGCCGATAGCATCCGGTGGAAAACAAAGAGATGGTATAATTGGAACAGTTTCACCAAAAAGAGATGAATGCTATGAAAGAGAAAATCTCCCACCTTACTAATCTTCTAGAAAGGACATTGTAATCAAGGATCGGTGATGAGGGCATTTTAAACCATGGGTAGACTTAAGAAGAAATGCCTTACCTTATCTATTCATTGAACATGAATACTCGGCTAGGGCAATCTACCACCCCACCTATTAATGCGAGGGCAACTGCATCCCATCTTAAGGTGCCATTTCCTATAGCACCATTTTCTTATATCATGGACTCAAAAGAGCTTTAAATGCGATGCACATCCATCATTGATAAAATAAGAAAACTAGAATGCCATAAAAGTCTAGTTTGGAAAAAACTTTTTGCTATTAAAGAATGATTGAGGGCTATTGAAGGCTCTAATGTGTACGATACTATAAGGGACATTAAGATGTGCTTAGTATCAAACCTAATGATACACGGAATGTTTAGAGTTCTAGAATTCATCAAGTATACAAGCACTCAATGTTCAATAATTAACCTATGAGTACACTCGTAGCAAAATTATAGAGGTTATACATGATAAAAAGTTATACATTTCTTTCATAAAGGCCTTTGTAGGTTTGTATTAAGTTGGTACATGCAATTAGACAACACCAACATTAAGAAAAGGAAAGACCTAGTAGATACATTCATCAAGCAATACAAATTAAACATAGAGTTGCTCCAAATTGGACTAACCTATAAGGTATGGAGAAGGGCACAAAAACATTGTCAAAGAGTATGTTTAAATATGGCATGAAGTGGTAGCTCAAATTCATCCACTACTACTCGAACCAAAATTGATACTTATATTCTCACACACTTTCGAGCTTTATATTTTGAGTACTTGATCGAGAATTCTTTCTCAAATTTGATTGATACTTGTTATCATTATTAAGTGGATAGAACAGAAAATAAAGGTTGGAAAGATTCAAGATGGTTCTAATAGAAGCCAAATATCGGTATCAAAAGAAAAGATAATGATGCATATTAGGTTAAGACTGAATCTTATCAACATAAGAATTAGTGAAATGGTCAAGTAAGATATTATAGGTGTGGGGTTAGGTGGTTGTTAAGAGAAAGATAGAGATTGAATGTTATTGGGTATATATTGTAGTCTCAAAGATGGCATGAAGTGGTAGCTCAAATTCACCTACTATTATCCGAGCCATAATTGATACTTATATTCTCGAACAATTTTAGGACACTATAGTTTGAGTACTTGATCAAGAATTCTTTCTCAAATTTTACTCATATTGTTATCATGGTTGAGTGGATAAAATTGAAAATCAAGGTTGGAAAGATTCAAGATGGTTCTAATAAAAACCAAATATGGGTATCAAAAGAAACGATAATGATATGCATTAGGTTTTGACTGAATCCTATAAGCATAAGAATCGGTGAAATGGTCGAGTAAGATATGATGACCAATGTATGGCTAACAACATTCAATCTCCATCTTTCTCCTAACAATGACATAACCCCACACCCATAACAGATCACCACATACCTTATAACCCAAATAGGATCATACCTCACCAATAAGATGGTTCAATGTTACCCACTAAATCAATCATGTCAATATTATTTGACCTCTCAAACCTTCCAAATAAATCGATTCCCTCGAGTTGTTAGGCTTTTCCATAATACACCAATATTTAATAACCAACAAGCACCTCATAACCAATTCAACTATAATAACTAATACTTTAGATAAGATCATGAACTACTATTGTCACTTTTATTCCTTTTGAGAGAAATGTTTAGATGTTTGGTCGGTATAAGGCAAGTGGCTCTAATCTTGATAGACTTGACACAACCTTCATATGGTATAAAAAAGATGAATAATATGAATATCATGGCAGTATTACATGAATAGTATAGGTGATTTTTTGGCACTCAAAAGAAAAATACAACTTCGACCAAGCATGGATGGATAAGTTTGAACAATAGTCCAAATGCCCTTAATATTAATATCAATCCCCTCTCAAATCATACTACTCGGTGGAGGAGTCAATATGATACTTTTGAATAAACTAAATATAATATAGAAAGATCTAGTATGAGAGTCTTGATTGATTGGCTTTTCATAATTCTATTATTAATAGCTATGTATAAATACCAATTAGAAATTAAATGGTAGTTAACTAGGATCAATACTATAAATACCAAGGAAAGAAAAGATATGATATCGATGTCGGCATTAAGTTTCATAAAGAAATAGAGACTATGATGATCATGTGGACTTTTCAAGTAGAGAAAAGCAAAAAAGTACTAGAGATGGAAATGATATCACTATAAGAAATGAGCAAAACATACACTTGTTGGTATCAACCTACTAGCAATGGGCTCCCAAGGATTATCTTATTAATGCAAAGTTGTGATATGACTAAGAACAACTTGTTCCCTCCTACAATACCATGAAACACACATACCAAGTCATGAATATATCTATTAGTGTTAGCGCTTATATTGCTAGCCTTATAAGAGATGGGAGTTGCTTTACCCCTAAAGAGTTAGAGATGCAAAGAAAGATGAAAAGGAAGGAAGTGCTAAATTCCCTTAAAAGAGGCAAGAGTTAGAGATGCAAAGAAAGATGAAAAGGAAGGAAGTGCTAAATTCCCTTAAAAGAGGCAAGGTAAACAAACTGATTGATGAAGAAGATGCTAAAGAACTCCTTAAGTTAATTAAGAATAGTGATTATAGTGTTATAATTTAGTGGAAGAAAACCCTAGATAGAAAGTCATTATTTTCCTTCATTTTGAGCTCTAAGCTATATGAAATGGCATTGTAAATAAAAGCTAAACAAAGCATATGTTTTGCAAGATATCACTTTTTATTGAATAGAACATCTAGTATGGAGGGTCCGGGCCACCAACTATTTATACTTTTTTAAAGATGACCGTCGATGTCGGCCATCATAAAGGGGGTTGGAACAAGGAGTTGCCATCTAGCTAATTGGGAAGATCTAAGAAACCTTAGATGTATTGATCTACATAGATATCTAGGTAAGGGGTCAATAATGTATAGGGAAGATATGAAATCGCCACTATCCCATCCTACCTAAGGTAGGCTACATTGTTTGCCTATGAATATAAAAATCTAGCCTTTATTATGCTATGCTTTTATGCCAATTTAAATGATTTTATTTTGTAAAAATATGTAGGATGGTTTGGATGTAAAACAAGGTAGTTTGGCAATTCGAGTCGCTTAAGGCTAATACTCCATACCCAATAAAGGAAAGGAGGGAAAATTTAAAATTTTAGCTCATCATTAGTGAATACGACCTATTATCAACCAATAGGTGAGTTTCTAAAGATGAATAGATTTTTATTGCCTCGATCAATGAGTCACCAATGACTTCATTCACACAAGTGGAACGTCATGATGACTTCAAGTCATAAGTTTGAAGCTAATGATAATCTCATCACATAAATTAGAAGCTACTAACCACTTTATTTAGCTTGAGCGGGGAGTAGATAACTATTTGCAAGCTATCAATGACTTCGTCATATAAGTGGAAAGGCATCGGTGACTTCGTTTCAAGCAATTATATATTAGAGAAAAATTATTTAGAAACCACTAATGACTTTCTTACATAATTGGAAAGTCACTAGCATCTTCATTTTGATGAAATAAGAAGCGAGAAAGTAGAAAACAAGAAATTGAAATGAAAAACAATAATAGAGAAAAAAGAAACACCAAGCGAGAAACGAGACACAAAAAATAGATAAAATAACTTTGAAATCCCCTAATAGCTTCATCACATAAGTTGAAAGATATCATCGGTTTCATCAAAATGAAACAAGAAAAAAAAATGGAGAATAAGAAACAAGAATAAGAATCAAGAATCTAGAATCGGAGATCAAGAATCGGGAACAATAAACGAGATAAAATTACTGCGAAACCACGAACGACTTTGTCACATAAGTGAAAATCTATCGATAACTTCATTTCAACATTGCAATCAAAAGTAATTGATCAATCAATCACAAGAACAAGCATAAACTTCATATTTAGTATAAGCATAAAAATAGGAAAGTGAAGTATTTTATCCTTTAATATCCATTACGGTAATGTTTGTTTCAACCACATTTAAAATATGGATATTTAAACAAAATTCAATAGTTTCATTCATGTAATAAAATAATCCAATAATTTTTAATCATCATTTTTTTTTACAAAAAAATGCAAAGGTTTTGGAATTTTACCTAAAAGGTCTAAAATTCCAATATGTAAAATAAAGTCTCGATGAAAACCGATGAAAACTAATTCGGTTAGCGAGAAAGGAGATCGACTGTTTATGGGTAAAATGTGTTATGACTCCCACTAAAATGACAAAAAACTTCGTCGTTACTTGTGCAAATACCGTAAAAGTTACTCGTAAAATTTGCAAAGTTCCTAAAACTTTATAGAGTTTCTCGAAACTCAAAATGGCTTTTGTAGCTATTTTTTGTAATCCAAAATTAAACAAATGTAGTTTCCAACATCATGTTGTTCTTGCCAACGGAATCTAATACAAGAAAATTTCTTATTCCATTTTTAATCTTTTTTTTTTTGCCACTATTCTCAACTAACAAAACGCTTTTTTTTGTGTATTGTTTTTTTATGTTGCAACCCAAATAAAAGATGCTATGCGAGTATTTCTTAGGCTCAAAGATGAAAGACGAGGGGTGGCTACTTTATGGGTTGTAATAAAAAGGGTGCTTAGGGGGTGTATTACAAACTATTTTTAGGCGGTTATGGTGGCTTGCGACGGGAAAGGTAGCTGGAACCATGGGTTGGCCTATTGATCTAGCCTATTCATGTGAGAGGGAATATGAGGAGGTGCTAGAGGTTATGGGAGAACTACGACTGGAGGAGAGGAAGATAAAAGTGGAGGTTATGTTATGCGTGAGTCGTGTATGCGTTGGATGGGCACAAGGAGTGAGGCACATAAGCTTGGGAGGTCTGGTAGCTACCGGTTGTGTGAGCTTGCCACTGGAGGAACTTGTCCATGCACGAGGTTGGCTAAGTAGCGGGGAGCAGCTGGAGCATGAAGTTGTACGCGTTGGCTACGTGGGAGGTATCTTATTAGAGTTGGCCAAGCGGCTAGAGGCGATGTTTATAGGATTACTCAAGGCTGCTCGCATCTATAAGCTTACTACTAAAGGAACTACTACATGCATAAGGTTCACTATTAGAGGAGCTACCATACACATAATGGGGATAGACTAGTGGGGCTAGCACTAAGGCTAGACTAAGTAATAAGGTGTAGTGGGTTATGGGGCTTATGCTTAGGCAAAGTGTTGTTGCTACGTTGGGCGTATGGAGGTTTGACTATGCTAGAGAATAATATAAATCATATCTTAAGGTCTCATCTAACGACTTAAGCTTTTGGGTGAATGGTCCTTTAACATGATATCAAAATCTTGATGACCAAATGATCGCAAGTTCGAATCCTACCACCCTCACTTTTTGTTCAAAATAATTAAGCATAAGGTAGTGTAGGATTATATAAATTTCAAGCCCGAAGGGCTTTCACTTGAAGGGATGCATTATAGAATAATATAAATTAAATCCTAGGGCCTCACCAAACAACTTAAGCTTTTAGGTGAGATGATCCTTTGACGGTCGTAGTTGAAGGGTAGTGTTGGTTAGAGTCAGCTATGTGGGCATGGCTATGGGTGAGATTTAACAAGTGACGGGTCTGTGTGTGTGTGGATGAAAAGGAGTTTGTGTGTGGGGGTGAGGCATGAGAGAGGAATATGTGAGGCTGAGTAGTAGCTTAGGTGGCTATTAAGCAAGCATATGGTATGGTCTAGGCTGATTCAAGAGGGGCTAAAGGCTCAGCTATCGCATGTGAGAAAGGGGAGCTAGGGTATATAGTTTTTGGATGAAGGAGTTGCGGTGATGAAGAGAGGTGGTTGAATTGGTTTTAAGTTAAGGTGAGAATGAACAATAACTTATACTAGAAAAATACGGGGGTTGGTTTTATATGTAGGGTTTTATTTGCAAAAGTCCAATTTGATCCTCAATTCTTCATCATCCATCAATTTGAGTTTAAATTATTGTTTTTGTTTCGATGGAACCCTTAAATCTCAATTGATTAAAACTTTTCTTTTTGATTTCTCCCAATTATGCTCTCGTTTATTTTAAATAAAGGATTTAAGTTTTGGTTTTTTTATTGGACCCTCTGTTGTCCTTTTTCTTACCTCTAAACTTTTCATTTATTCAAAACCATTTTTCGTGAATTAATGTAGGCTAATTATCCCAATTCATTTTTTATCATTTTATTTTGCTTACCATTTTTTCTCTTCTCTCTCTTTGTCTCTTCTTTTTGTTTTACTCATTCCATTTTTTAATTTTTACTTTTCATTTTCTTTGGTATTTATGAAAAAAATAAAAATTAAAGTAAAATTGATAACGGTATTTTAAAATGTTTTTCTTTGGCTTTACGTAGTAAGCTCTAAAAGAAATACGGGAAAGTTAGGGAAGACATGATCGACCATATTTATTCAAAAGAATACTACCGGCCATATCGATTCCGTAGGGAGATAATCGACCAAGCCTAATTTAACAAAAATGTTGTTAACCATAATAACTTAAAGGGACAAGCCTAATTTAACAAAAATGTTGTTAACCATAATAACTTAAAGGGACACGATTGACAACGTCAACTTTAGAAGATATGATTGACTATGTCGAATTAAAAGAGGAATATGACTGACCATATTGATTTGAAAAGGCATGACTGACCAACCCAACTTTAGAAGACATGATTGACCATGTCAAAAGAAAAAGTGATCGACTATGTTCATTTGAAGGGATGTAACCGATCATGTCGACTTTGTGAGACATGGTTGGCCATGTCAAAAAAGGAACATGAATGACCATATCGATTTCAAGGGATGCGATTGACCATGCCAACTTTATGACATGACTAGCCATGACTAAAAGGGAAACATGGCTAACCAAATTGATTTGAAAGGATACAACTAACCGTGTCAACTTTGTAAGACATGACTGACCATGTCAAAAGGAAACGTGAATAACGACATTGACTTGAAGGCACATAATTGACTACATCAACTTTATGAGACATGAATGACCATTTTATAAAAAGAACATGATCGACCACGTTGATTTGGAGGGACACGATCGGTGGTATCGACTTTTTAAGACATGATCGGCCATGTCAAAAAGAGAATATGACTAACCATATTGATTTCTACTACTCTTTTTTTGGAAAGATACGACTAACCATCTAGGTCCGACTTTATATAGGCAACTTTAGATGAGACAGGATCGATTTTTTATGTGTGAGATAACTATATGGAACTATGAGGTTGTTATTTGATATGCATTCTTGACTTACAAATTATGCTTTTCATTGTTAGAAGTATAGGACCTGATCGTACAAACCACACTTCCTTTTCTTGCTCGGTGGCAACTTTGTCATCCATGATTGAAGAGCAAGGCTTACTGCACCTTTTTTGTAGCTCGGTCTATCCGTACATCCCTTAATTACAAGGATCATGTCAAAACCATCTAATTAGTGTTTAAAGATATGATGAATCTTCTTTTTAGCCTTTATTTTGCCTGTTTTTCCATTAGGTTTGCCTCTATGATTTTCTTTGACTCACCAAAATTGCTTGTAGAGGACCAAGGTCATTCAATTAGGTTTGCCATTGATTGTCGTCCCACAATTCACTTTCTAAGAAAATGTGATTTGAAAGTTCCTATCATGCTAAAGACCTTTTTAAACAACTTTATCATATCATTCTTTTATATTTTGAATTGTTTGTCATTTTCATAGATAATATGCATACACCATTATATAGAGGACCAAAGAAATAAGCTTTTAGGGATCGATCACATTTGAGAATATGGTTTTTTATTTTTGTAAAAGAGAATAAATAAAATAAAAAATCATAATCTTATCATAAGAGGTAAACAAAGAAAATATGACGCAAAAGAAAATGTTAACATGTAAATTAGACTAGCCAAAATTTGATGAATTTTTATTTATTTAAAATGAAGAGTGTTATAACCTAAGTATAATATTTCTTTACGACATCCGAATTCACTAGCTTAGGCGAGTTTATTATCATGCATGTTTCTTGTAATGAGAGCTCCACTAGAGAATGCTTTTTTCACCATATAAGGACCTTTATAGTTTGGTGCCCATTTACTATGATCCGCCCCGTATCCGTAGCAATTTATTCAATACTAGTTCCTCTTCCTAAAAATTTCTCCATCGCATCGTCTTATCATAGGCTTTGGCCATTCGTTTATGATATAGTCGGGTATGGCATATAGTAGTAAGTCATTTCTCACTTATCGATTTAGCTATTCATAACCGATTTTTACCCATTTAGATTCTTCTAACTCGACCTCTTTTAAGACTCTCATAAAAGATATTTTGACCTCTAAAGTCATCTCTACTTCCATTATGTATACCATAGAGTAGGGAGTCTTTCTTTTTGAAGCTCGAATAAATGTTTGATAAGCTTGTAAGGCAAATTGTAGTATTTCATGTTGGCTTTTATACGACACCACCATCTTTTGGATAATCTTCTTCAAGTTCTTATTTGTCGCTTTCACGGCTCCATTCATCTTGGGCCTATATGAAGAGGAATTATATTGTTTTGTCTACCATTGTCGGCATAAATATGTCATCAATTTTTCGTTAACGTTACGAGCATTGTTTGCCACTAAGGTTTTAGGAGAGCCATATCCGCAAATTAAATCTTTTTCAACAAATCAATAAACAACATTTTGAGTCACATATATAAAGGAAGCAACCTCAACCTTTTTGGTGAAATAATCAATTACTACTCAAATGAAATGGCATCTATTGCTTGCCTTAGGATTTCTTGATCTAATGACATCCATGCCCCAAATTGCAAATGACCGGAGCGATTCCATGTTGAAAAGGGGTGTTGGTGAAGCTTTAATTTAATTGGCATGAATCTTGCATTTTAACATTTTTGGACATAGTCAATGCAATCTTTCTCCATGGTGGTCTAAAAATAACCACTTCATTAAATTAGTTGGCTCATCACATGTTCGCCGGCATATGTAGCATAGATTCCCTCTTGGACCTCCCCTATAGTCTTCTTTGCTTCAATCGCATCCAAACATCTCAATAGAGAGCCATCAAAACTTCTTTTGTATAAGATTTCATTGTCAAGATAAAAATCCATAGCCAACCTTCTTAACATCTTTTTGTCATTCTTGGTTGCATTAGTCGGATATTCATTATTTTTTATGAGCTACTTGATTTCATGGTACCATGGCTTCCCATCTAGTTCTTCTTCAATCAAGCCATAATAGCATGCTAGAGTATTTCTGGTTTCAATGCATACGGGTTGAATTTTCACCTCACAATCAAAATTTGTCATGGAAGCTAATGTTATTGGTGCATCGGTAAAATAATTCTTCTTTCTACCAAGGTAAGCGAACTCAATCTCTTCAAATTGGTCGGCCAACCTTATTAAGTACTCCCGATATGACTTTAGCTTTTCATCTTTTTTTCCACTCTCCTTTCACTCGACCGATATTGAGCAAAGAGTAGCCGTATACATCAAGTTTGCTTATTTTCATTTCTAAGGTTGCTTCTTAGCCATGCACACATGCTTCGTGCTCGACAACATTGTTCATACATTCAAACTATAACTTGACTACCATGGGGAATTATCTTCCTTTCATTCAAATCAAGACTAACTCGATATCAATTCCTAACGCACTTACAACGCCATCAAAATATAAGATCCAAATGTCATCCTTTGACTCGGCTCTTTTTCTTGACCACCATAATTGATTCATAGCAAAATCCAATCTTAGAGGCTCATAATCATTTATTGCATGATCTGCTAAATGATTGGCCATGTTACATCCTTTTACCATCTTCCTTGTTATGCATACAATATTGTATTGAAATAACATGACTTAACATCTTATAATATGGCTTGACAAGTATGGCTTCTCAATGATGTACTTGAGAGAATAAAGTTTTGAAATTAGCCAACTAGTGTAATAGAGCATGTACTATTTGAGCCATCATGCACACCATACTAAATTTGGACACATTTTCTCTAGCGCACTATATCTCAACTTGCAATCACCAAACTTTTTACTCAAATAGTAGATGGCTTGTTCGTTCTTTCTTGACTCATCTTACCGACCCAAGACACCTCCCTCAATTATTTCTTTTACTAATAAGTATAGAATCA